CCTGAGAAATAAATACTGTTACTTAAATTAAAAGTCAATTATTGATATTGATTATAAATTGTGATGCAGCACTGCCATCAATATCATTATACCTTAGGATAAGGCAGGAAATGTCTAAATAGAATGCACAACGGTCTGTATTTAGTCTCATTCAATGAAAAATAAAATGTCAGTGATGTGTTATAGCCTGATTCTTAATTCTTTGGTGTACCGCCAAAGTTTGCACACTTTCTACAATACCTAAAAAATATCATTTTATAATAATTCTGATCTTACATTTTTACATAATTGAAAAATCAGTCTTTGAGGCTACACAGACAAATGATTCCCAAATGAAACGACACCAAATTCCATGTCAGATTTTTCAAAACTAATGCCTGATGTAATTTTATGATCATTGATGGAGTCAAATTAATAATGTAAATATAAAATGTTAAAAGTTGAGTTTATTAGCCAACACAACTAGACATGTTCTGAGGTCACAAAGTTCTTGAAGGAAGATTGTATTCAGAGGAAGATCAAGCTCAGTGGATAATTGGGAAGGGGCTCATGCCTTTTTCCACTAGTAAATGAGGGCAATATGTATCATCTGTGAGCCATGGCTGGAAGAGTGTCGGCTTCAGGGAGGATACTATTTCCATACTCAGGATCTTATTTCTGCCAGGGTGTTTTACAGAAATAAAAGTTATACAAATACTACTGTTGCTTGTTATTGTTATTGTACCTAGATGAAGACTGTGCCTCTCAGGAAAACCTAATGCCAAGATTTTGGTCTAGGTGTTGGCTATAAAGTATCTGGATCCAAAATATTAAATTGCAGTCAGATTTTCTCATTCTTTTGAAACATGAGGAGCAGGTGTGTATCATGCTTGATGATTAATAATAGAATAGTACATTCCTATTATGAAGTTTACATTTTTATCAATTTATAAGTTTCACATACACCATTAATTACTTTAACCCCTTGGATCTGATAACTTCACAACAATCACATGGTCCAAAATACAGACATTAAGCTTACTCGAGCGGCTGCTGTGCCAGGTGTGCGGCATGTAGGCTGGGTGCCAGTGAACACTCGTTTGCAGTGACATGACTCTATGCCTACCCTTTGCAATATTATTTTCTCTTTTTATGCATAAATGTTTTTAATTTTTTTTTTTTTTTTACCATATTCCAATGTGTATTTGTCATTTGATTGCTTATCCAGATGGTAATAAACTCTTTGCCTTGTACAGACTCCTTATAAATTCTCTAGGTTGTCCACAGCTCAGTGGAAAAGAAAAGAAAAGAAGAGATTTGTGTAATTTTATTTTTATTTTATTTTTTTCTAATCAATTATATGTAATATAACCGTTGCTAGGCACAGCAGTCAGGAATAGGATGCTGAGCATGGAAGTGGTATCCTCCCTGGAGCCGGCGCTCTTCTAGTCATGGCTCACAGACACTATATTCCTCACTCTTATATCAATGAGAATAATGCAAAAGCCCCTTTCTAAATGCCATAATTTTATAATCACCCTCCAAGAGCTTTTTTCACTCTTGGCAAATTGTTTCTGTCACCCTGGTTTTAACTATAATGATCATGCTGGGAAGTTCATGTCACCTGGCCCTCAGCCAGATTTTCCCATGAAGGCATATTTATGTCATCCACCTATCAAGCCAGATTTTTTCATTATTTGATAGTCAGGTCATCCAGATCGAAGAGGTTTACACTGGAACATGTGATTGGAAATATTTTATTTTAATCAGTTTTTTGTGGAACTGGGTATTGGAGGTGTCAGAGACTTTCCCAATTTGTCATATCTTGTTTTGGTCAATGATCATGTTCAGAAGGCAGTAAGTGAAAGAAGCCTGTATAATTGTAAAATTTTCGTTAAAAAAACTATTTTGGCTCAGTTATCTATATATTGAAGTCAGGTAGGCCTTGCAGCCAACATCTTGTTGGCTAAGCAGTTGTGATAGGGAAGTTAAATTAATATTTGTCTTGAAGGTTTTATTAATAAAAGAGCATGAAGATAAATACAGTACATCCTCAACTAAAGGAAAGATGGGTGGTGTCATTTAATATATGATGTGTCTAACTTTTTGCAATTGCCTTTTTTATGCTGATTTTGAATAGTTGGGGCTGTTTGATATTCTTTTCTTTTGAATGGAATAATTTGTTTAATCCATTGGATCTGGATATGGGTAATAAATTGACTCAAGCAGGCACTCTGACGGGTGTGTGGCTGGTATGCCAGGCATTCATGAACACTTATGTGCAATGAAAAACCTCTATCCTGCTCCTTTGGAATATTATTTCCTCATTTTCTAAGTATTTTTAACTTGTTTGCCATTTTCCAATGTCTATATTTGTCATTTGGTTTGCTTTATCCTTGCACAGACTCCATATCATCTCTCAAAGTTGTCCATAACTGAGTGCAAAATTAATAACAATTAGTAATATGTTATTTTTTGTCATTGAAAATAATTGTTCATAATATTCAATTTTCTTTAGTACAACCTTAGCTGCCAGTCTTGTCGGGTAGGAACAGGATCCTGAAGTACATATATAGCCTCCTCCCTGGAGCCTTAGCTTTTCTAGTCATGGCTCACGGATGGTACATTCCACACTTGTTTATTGATGAAATAATGCAAAAGTTCCCTCCGAAATGCCAAACGAGTCCAATTGCCCTCTAAGAACTTGTGGTGAGTCATTACTGTCATTCCACCCTTCAGCTGAAATGCTCACAATAGAAATATGCGCTGATTTTAGTAGCCACTTGGAAACTTTTATTTTCAGCTTTAAAATATACCAGCGGTAATGGGTTAATATGAGCGGGGCTCTCAAAAGTAGTCAGTCATCGCCAGCAAATCGCCATCTGTGGCTGGCTTTGCTGCTGGTTATTTTTCATTTGGTCTCAAAAATAACTTTTCACAGTCCCGCCCTACTGAAACAAGTTCTAAAAGTGAATTTTGTGTACTATGCAGGGTTAGGCGCTGTTAAGCAGCAGCATTTCTGCCGTTTTCTAAACGTAGATGATAAAGAAAACGGATACAGATAATAGTTTGCTACCCATGCACCCTGCTATTCAAGCCCCTGCATCCTGCTATACTCCACAACTTTGAGAGCCCTGCATGAGATCATAAGCACCACATTCCATTAGTGAATGCTCTTATCTGGCCCTGAGGTCACCCTACTTATCTCATTTCCACCCAACTCTTTCCCCTGCCCCTCACAATCCCTTATTTTATGCTAGCTGATGGGATATGCAGCACAACAGTACACTAGACAATCACTTCTACCTGCCAAAATTAATTCTAAAAAAAAAAGGTTGCACTTTAGGATTTTCGAGATGAAAGAGACATAGAAATCACAAAAGAAAAACTATTTTCCAGTGTCCTCTCACAGACCTGCCTATATATAGGACACTCATCCTTTAGGGGTTAATCATAACATACTGGTCACAGATTTACAGTCAGTTAACTGTAATTTTAATAAATTTTGTTGCACAAAGACAGGTTCTTAACCCATTTACGACAGGTGTCCCACATATGAGACACCCGAAAAATTAAACATTGCCGGGTGTCCCACCAGTGTGATGTTGGATCGGAGCTTGCTCTCAGTTCATGGCCACTGCTGGTGCGCAGGCAGATTCCGGGCCAGCCCTGCACGCTGATTTTGAAGCAGTCCAGAAACTATTATTTTTGGCTTCAAATTATACCCACGTTAGTGGGTTAGTTTTAATTATAATTCCCCTGAGAGAGAGCAAAGCCCTTCTCGGAAAACTTTTTTCCTTATTTTTTCCACATTTATCTCTTATGTACTGCTATTGGCTCACACCATAGTATACTTTACAATGAAAGAAAAAAATCAGCATAACCATCAATAAATTCTTGAGAGATTGACATTTCAATTCCTATAAAAATTGCCTTAGTTTCCTCAAAAAGAAAAAAAAATCATTTTTCAGATTTTCAAAAAAAAAAAAAAAAAAAAAAAGAGCTTTCGTCACTTTCTGTGCATTTTTAATAGTTTTCAAATGATTTCAACAAATGTTAAATTGGATAAGAACTGTCTGCGTATAGTAGTATGGAAGATCCCATAATTCCTTTTTTTTTTTTTTTTTTTTTTTTTTTTCTAATGCCGCTTATTAGATGAAGATATGGAAACTGGTTCCCAGGTTATAATGAATTTAGTAAAGTGACCCCTACAAAAAGTTGAAAAGTCCAATTTTATTGGAATATGACGCTATGCAAAAGATTGACTAATAGGGGCAATTTCTACAGAATACCATCAGCTTTCCAATGATATGAACAAATCTTGGATTGGATATGAACTGAAACTAAAATATGAAATTGTGCATGTAGCAGATGAGTATAAATATTGATGTGAAAACAGAAAAGGTAATATTAGAAAGACGGCACTTATAAAAGGTTTCAACATTTAAAGTAAATTCCATAACTAGTGCATTAATTAAAGTCCAAAGAATATACTTTGTATTTTTCTGCAGTTATTACATGGAAAAGAAAAGTTTTTAAAAATAAATTTAAGCAGATTGTCCCAAGAAGCAGCAAAATGGGTCGGTAGAGTTTTGGATTAAGGCCAGTTAAAAAGTAACGACTTGAGATATAGTTATCTTTGGCATCTAGTTGACGATAAAAATTTACATTTTTGGAGCTGTATTTTTTAAAACTTACCCCAAGGACCCTAGTAACAGGAATATGCCATGGGTAATTTGGCTGAGGGGCAGGGTGACCGGAATGACTCGCCATGAATGCACAAAGCTCTTGGAAAGTGATTAGATTCAGTGGGCATTTTTCCATGACCATGGGGCTGGATGTATTGTTGTGGATATAAAACCGAACTGGATTTTATCTCTTTAGTGTCGAGTGACCAAGTACACAAGTTGTCAGGCCCACAAGTGAGAGGTGAATGATGACTCTGTCTCGGGTCAGGCGTCTTATGAACCTGAACGGCAATGTTAGCTTGGCCTGTTTGGGCGGTTCTGAGGCAGGAGGTAGCCAGTCATGGGTCAGGTGCGGTTCTGTATTGATGGCCAATCAGGAGCTGCTACAACACTCCCCCTCTAGTGTAGCTGCTGCAGGTGTGTGGGTTTGACGCGGTTGATGGTCATGAAGTCTTCTCCCTTTGGGCGTTGGATGATGATAGTCTTGTGACCAGGAATGGATCCTCATATGGAGGACAGAGGTGTTTTCTCACGAAGACGTGAGAGCAATCCTGGAGTCCTGGAGGCATGTATATGTCCTGTTGCCGGGAGGGTTTTGTCGGTTGGCTACTCACTTGAGTCATCCATTCTAAGAGTTGCTTGCTGAAGGTCCCTGGCTCAATGGTGGTGCACTGCAGGTCTTTGAACAAGTGATGTTAAGGACAAAGGAGGACAAGTTGGTCTACCGACCTCCTGTTGGAGGAGGAGGATGCTCGTAGTTCCCTATCAAAGGCACTGTATCGTGACTAGCATGGCAGCAGGGTCTGCGAAAAGAAGGCGAGAAGTTGCCATTGCTTACCCTGACGTTGCTGGAGGACAGCACCGATGGCATTGTTTGAGGCATAGACTGCTATGCTGAGTGGAGCACTGGGCAGGGGGTAGTTAAACAGGGTCTAGAATGTCTGGATGGCTTTCCAGAGACCAAAGGGCATACTGAGGAAGTTAGAGGTGTAATCACATCTGTCTAGGGGATGTCCTCTCCGGTAATCAGATTTTGATGGTATGCACTAGGTCAATCACAAAGACAGCATGTGGGAGAAGGAGTGCAGGTGTGGCAGGGGGTATCTGTCACCGTCCTTCTTCACTAGATGCAGAGGGGCTGCCCATTGGCTGCAGGAAGGATATATGATCCCCAACTGCAGCATGTGATCAAACTCCTCTCTGGCACTGCGACATCTGTCAGGGGCGAGCAGACGGCAGCGAGAGTGGGCAGGGGGACTGTGAGTCACGAAATGGTGCTGGACTTTTTGCCGTGGGTGGGTGGTTTAGTTGATTGGCTTGGTCAAAGCCTGGAACTCCCACAGGATGTCCTTGAAGGTGGAGGTCCTGGGAAGAATCTTATATATAAAGGGGGCACTAACCAGTGTTGGGGTGGCATGGGTGCGGGCCCCAGTCTGGTGGATAAGTGTCTTACCTTGGAAGCCAACCGTTAAACTGTAGTGTGCTATGAAGTCGGTGGGGGTGGCAAAGGAGTGCGAGAGTGAGGCTTTGTGGCATATTGTGGATCATTCAGGAGGTTGCTGGGGATCATAAGGAGTTTAGGCGGGAGGTTGGTGACCAGCTTGTGGAATTTGGAGGTTTGGTCAGTGATATTCCTGAGGAGGGATTCCTGTTCCACTTGAAAGAACCATTCTGCCAGGCTGGTCAGAGAGCTGGTCAGTAGTGACCTGTATGTGGCTGACATTGTGAAGAAACTTGGTTCGCTCTGAGGGTCATCAGTGTTAAGGATAGAAAACTGAACTGGATTTTATCTCTTTACTGTCAAGCGACCAAGTACTCAAGTTGTCAGGTCCAAAAATGAGAGGTGAATGATGACTCCACCTCAGGTCTGGCGGCTTATGAACCTGACCGACAATGTCAGCTCGGCCGGTTTGGGAGGTTCTGAGGCAGGAGTCAGCCAGATGGGTCAGGTGTGGTTCTGCATTGATGGCCAATCAGGAACCACTACAGTATTACAAAAAATTTAATATGAAAATATTAGAAAAGACAACAAAAATAAAATGTAAATTTTTTTGTTATTACTATTGCACTGAGTTTAAGATTAGAGAGATGATATGGATTGTTCAAGGAAGACATATTATTACCGTTTTGATACAGCATAGCAGATGACAAATATAGGCCTTGAAAAAAAAGAAAAGATAAAGTAAATGCTTAGGTAGAAGAGATTATAATTCTTTAAAGGGGAGGCAAAGGAGCTCAAAGCACAAAGTACATACTTTTCAGTTGATCTTGGCTAAGTAAACCCTTCCAATACCTTGCTCGTTATTGTCGTCTCAGGAGATGGAGACTGAGGCCCAATGTAGTGGATCACCCCTACTTGGGACCTCAGCTCTCGCCTCGACTAATTTTGCTTGGTCATTTCTTCTCCCCCTTTCTAAAAGAATGAAAGGCTGGCTTGGTGTCAGTCATGAACGGCCTCTGGGAACCATTGGCACCATGTTCCCTTGGTTAATTGCCTAGACCTTACCCCTTATAGGGACCCTAAGGGGTAGACTTTTTCTTTTCCCCTTTTTATTCAGGCACACCATGGCCAGTAATGAAGATTCTTTACCTTTAATAAGGGCATCAAGGCTTCCCCTTCATCAACTAGCCTATTTTTATTCAATTTTGATGGTTTTCCGACCCTTACCCTCCTTTGTTCATTAGGGAGATTTGCTAGGCAGGTACGAATGTGAAACTACCTGTAACTCAATTTCAACAAAGTGGACTTAAGACAGTCTCAAGACAATCCCCGCAATAAAGATCAGTGTTGTGTTCAATATTATTTATAATTACATGAGAGAGGTGTATGAATTATGATTAATTGGAAGTGTAACCAAGAATTGAATGGAGTCTGATTAATTCTATTATGATAAGGACTTATGAGATACATTTTAGAAAGGAAATATAGAAATCAATGAAATATGTAAATGGTAAAATATGAGTACATGCAAAGGAAGATTTATAGAACTAGGATGATGTTTGTGAAAAAAAAGGAAAATAAGATATATTACCTTTTTGCTTGATGAAATGGTTATTACTATAAATCTATAGTTTTAGATTTTTAGAGTGATAGGATTTAGGGACAATAATTTATAAGAGTATGTGTTTTTCTAAACAAATAAAAAAATACATCATGGTCATCTGTGAGTTAAGTAGTATTTGATAACAAGTAAATGTAATGAAAGTGATTTTAATAGCAACTGATTTATACTTTTGCACACAGCCATATGCAGAAATTTAGCTCCCTTGGTAATCTTTAGTTTTGCTCTTGGCCTTATGGTCATTACTGGCTAAGATTATTATATTTTTTCTCTTTTTGTGGCTCTAGTGACTGAACATTTAATAGTACTCAGAATTAAATTAATGTATAGATATTTTATATTCATGTGGAAAAGCACAAAATTAGATTAAGGCAGAATGTTTAAATTGCCCAAGGTGATATACAATACAAAGAATGGAAGATTGTACAGTATGTTCTTGGCTTATACTTCAAAATATGGAAAATGCAGTATGAAAATATGAGTGTATGTCTTGGCTTTAACTTTCTTGGAAGTAAATTTTTTAAAGATCAAATTTTGAAGGACAAACAGTAGTCTAACAAATTATAAGATACTTGGCAGACAGCCAGTTGATTTTAGTGATATATGAAAGTGTCCTTTCTTGATGTATTCAAAGAAATCCCCTTTTGATGTATTCAAAATTCCCCTCTTGATTGGTAGCCCCTAACTAAAGTTTATGTCTACATTTTACAGGAAATATTCGAAATATAAGTCCAGCTGTATGGTCACTGCAGCACCTGACATCTCTGTACCTGAATGACAACTGTCTGTCTCGCATTCCTGCTGAAATTGCCCGACTTGAACACCTAATGTATCTTGATTTGTCATGTAACAAAATCCGCAGCCTCCCAGCTGAAATTGGCGAATTAACGCGTCTCAGGTGAGTGTTCCAACTGTTGTTTTATAGTGTTGACATTACAAGTAATATCTTATTTGCAATTAGGATAAAGAGTATGGTAAGGAGACAATTACAATGAGTGTGTTCTCTATGTAGTAGTTTACATAATTGAAAGTATTGATACCATTAGGTTTAATGAATTGTTAGTAATGGAATAAATGTTTGAAGGGGGAATAAGAGCATTGTTTGTTCATATTCAGTTTGTGTAAAAATTATTAAAATTGTAAATTTTAGTATCTTGTAAAGCTCTCTAATATTCAAGTCTATGAGGATATCAGCAGTAATGAGAGGAAGTAAAGTGAAAAAATATCATGTCTTGATAAACTACTATGTTTTTTTACGCTAATATTTGTTCTTAAAATGCATATTGACTCTTTGATCATACAGCACTGTACTAACACTAAACATTGAATTGATTTTATTCCCCGATTTGAATATTTAGTACATGATCAATGGCTAAGATATGTTAAAAAGTTCATTATGATTGCTTTATGTTAATTGTGGTATATAAACCCAATGCCAGCTGGAAAATGGTGCGTTCCCTTTGGCAATGCTTAGTTAAATGTTTCTGCACATAGAAGTCTCTGCCAATGCTTATCCACAAAGGAGTCAATTAGTAGATCTTGTGACCTCGCTTTTCCTTGGAAAAGCGGGAAAACGTTTTTTTAACTAATGCCATCAATATTGACACTGTTATTTTTGTTATAAACATTATGATTACTATATTGTTACTGACATTACTAACAGCAGTATTAAATGCTAGAAAATATTGAAAATTGAGTAAAAGGGTAAACAGGGAAGACGTAGTTTGTGTAATTGGCTCATTGGTGACATCGTACTTGTGGAGCCACCTATATGTAAATACAATTACTAAATTAAACACACCATGAGTATGGCATGTATGGACATGCTATCCCCGGCGGCAAGTGGTTAACAGAAAAAAATCCTTTTAAACTTAAAAAAGGGGAACCTCATTTTGTAGTGCTCCTGCATTCCCTATATTGCTGGTGAAAGATTTGATTGAAATTGACAACATAAATTACAGGAATTTATTAGTGTGAAGAAAACCTAATGTGATACAACTATATAACCAGTTTTGAATGCCTTAAAATGCTGCCTGGCTAGAAGTATGCAGGCAGCACTCACAAATACATATTTTTTGTAAACCCCTTTCTTAAGAAAACCTTTTTTGCTTTGTTAAAGTAATTGGTAATGATAAGGATACACTGAAAATGTATATCATTTATCGACATTTTTAGGCTTTGGATGAATATGGATGGTGGTGACTGGTGGATGTATGAAAATGGAGGTGGGGATTGACTACACACAATATTGTGGGAGCTGTCTCTATTGGGTAAAGAGCCAAATATTTAGAATGCAGATATTTTATTACTGTCTTTAGTATGCTCTTGTCCAGAGCATAAAAGGTCTGTTTGAAGCAGCAGTAATTGACTGTGTATTTATTTCCTGTATTTTTGATAATTATTATTTTAACATACCTTTATTGTGCAGTTGTTGAGAAAGAGATTTACATTTAGAAAATATCCCACTCATACACAAGGATAGTGTAAAAGTTGTGATAACACTATGAGTTATTTACATTTAAAGGGTGTGAGCTCTCTTTGGGTCTAAAGCAGTTTGTTTTTGTAATTGGTTCTTATAAGAGTGACTCCTATTTTAATGATGAGTTAAACCACACATTCCCTTCAGTTGGTTTGTGAAAGGAATAGAAAGATTGCTGCTCTTTTTAAGATGTTCTCTTTGAGTTTGCATTTTCAAGTTCAAAAGTAATTCCATCATGTATCAAAATTATTTCATACATAAGGAAACCTAGCTAAGGTATTGAATTATGACATTTGGTATGAAAAAAAATATGCAATTGATGGAAAAGTTTTTTTCAATTAGTTGTTTTTGTGTTTAGTTCTCTCGACCCTTTTAGGAGCTACAGCCCCACAAAAGTAGTGTTATAACCATGTTTTAGTTTCAATAACTGAAAAGTCCTCTATGCTGCAGCTGAACGCACATCAAGTCTGGTGGGAATATTTTCCATGAACTTCTGATTTTTTGCTTAAGTGGCACAAATACGAATAGCCCAATGTGTGGTTAGGTTTGGTGTGGGAAAACCTCGTCACTATAGGGTGAGAGAAGGAAAGTGTATAGACAAAAGGTTTATTATGCATTATAGAATATTTGCATCACACAGCTTTAAGCTATTCAACTTTCCTTATTAAGGAAGATCTGTTGATTACCTTTACAAAAATATTGTAAAACAGTCTCGTAAATGTTGCTGAGGAATTTGTATTTCTTTGTGGAAAAGGTTTTAAAGCACTTGTCTTCATATTTGATATTTATGAATATTTGTTACTAGTGTTTAAGACTGACTAGTGTGGGGATAGCACTGTAAACTATTTAACAAACTATCCCCTCATCTCTAACAATCCTGTCTGAAATGAAATAGCACTGGCAAATTTAGAATTTTAAATATAAAGGTAGATTTGTTACACTTTTTTTATTATCATTATGAAATATATGATGAATGATGTATATTAGCTTCCTGCTGGGTGGAAAGGGGGAAAAATATAATTGTTCTTGACTTTGAGAATCTATTTGAACCAGGATTTTTTTTTTTTTTTTTTTTTTTTTTTTTTTTTCAACATGGAGTTACTTCACTGAGTTTTGAGATGTTAATATTCTCTTTATAGAAAAATAAATATATGTGGATGTCTATTTTTTAATATATTTTAAACTAAAAATATGAGATTTTAAATAACATTAACAATATTGTATGACAGGTAATGGAGAAAAGTTGGAAAAGTTTACTATAGATTTTTTTCAATTTGATGTATGAAGGTCTTGTGTGCAATAGGAACAGATAGTGCAAATTCCACAAATGTCATTTTATTTCCATAGTGTCATTTCAAGGCTATAATATATAAAAGGCAATATGACATAGCATATTCAGCCTGTTGTCCACTGGCCTGTCATGACAGGTGGTGGTAAATGATGAATGACATTTTTGCATCTTTTACACCGCGCAATATAAGGAAGTAGCTAGAGACGGTCAGGGTGGTTAGTTCGTTGAAAGAACAGTGACAAATGTAAACAACCTGAAAAGAAATAGGACATATATCATTTTCAGCCTTTCCTACTCAAACATGTACCAGCACCAGCAGGCCTATTGTCTATTAGTATACTAGGTGTGTGTCTTTGTTAACCCACTAACGAGGAGTGTCTCACATATAAGACCCGAAAAAATAAAAATTGCTGGGTGACCTGCCAGTATGATGCTGTATCGGCGCTCGCGCTTTGACGCAGCAGCCGGCCGCGGCTGGCGCACAGAAAGAGTCCGGGCCAGCTCTGTGTGCCGATTTTGTAGCAACCTGGAATCTTTTATTTTCGGCTTCAAAATATACCCACATCAATGGGTTAAGAAAAATTTCTTGAACTCTAATCTGTCAGGTCACTATATTTTGCCTGTCATAAATGATAAATGGAATGGTAATTGAGTGTTTAATGTTAAGGAAACCTATGAATAAGATAGAGAAAAAGATTCTTAAAGTACACAAGTGCTTTGATTCTCCAATTTCTAAGAGATGCAGATGCTTATGATGTGTAGTGTTTTGAATTTGTTGATGATATATTTGATAAATTTGATAAATGTTTGAAGTTTAAGTCGACATCCTCTAGACCCATGGTTAGTTTACCACTAGCCAAAGAGTTTAATGATGGTGTTGCTATGAACTTAAGGAAGTGTGTAAAAGTGAAGAAATTGATTTTACTATGGTTGCTATAAAATCTTGTTTGATAATAGGGTAGAATTTACCAATCCAGATTTTATGAACATGTGTAAGAATCTAGACAGTAGGTTTAAGCATACTACAGCTCAAAGCCTAGTTAGTAATGGATTGTGTGAAGGTAATCATTCGCTAGTTGATAAAATGAAAAATATTATGATGATGTCGTTTGGCTTAGGAAATACCTGTCAGAGTTAGGCTAAAATTAAAAGACTAATTTAAGGTTAAATGTATAAAAGTGGTGACATGATTTATAAAAGAAAAGAAGACAGAAAGGAAAGGATCAGTTGCTAGGGCAACTAGGATGATAAGTAAATGAGAGTAGTTCAGATATTAGTTGAGATTTTCTACAGATGGAAATATGTAATCCTAATGAATGCAGGAAGAAGTTTGAATTACAAAATTCTAAAATTATTTTCAAGTTCTCAAGCACAGGTGACTTGACTGAAAAGCAAAATAGATGACTCACATGCTAGTTTACTAGGTGGTTACTCTAGTGCTAGTGGATATGCATAATTTCTGATTGAGGAAAATGCCCACAGAAATTGCTCCTTTGATGTAGGAGGCAAGGAAAAGGAAGAGTGTAGCAAAAATACTTGGGCTACATAGGCTCTAGCTACTAGTGATGCCCTAGATTTTGTCATGCATATGATCAGAGATAACAGTGATGAATCGGCTCTGTATATTACCAGTTGTGCCTTGTATTGAAGATCATTCTCTGTTTGAAAATATGCACTCAACAAAAAAATGTCAGAGTATAGATTGAGGATAAATTCAGCTACAGTGAAACAAGTCCAAGGAAATAAATCACACTTGAAATGGGTTATCTTGAGCACCCAGATATTTGCCTGTCAAAGAGGTTATATTTGTAATGTGTTTTTTTTTTATATATATATTTTTGGAGAAAGAGGAATATTGTTATATCCAGTACAGTGTTTCTGTTGTACAAGGCAACAGAAACCCACAACTCTAGCTTATACCAAGGGTTGTGGGTTTAGTTTATGTTCATGCTCTGATGGTAGTCAGCCATGAAAATGTAGCTGCTTTTGTGCTGCTCCAACATGTCTGCTAGTTTGCAAGGGCAACATGTTCATCATTTAAGAATGGATTAGAATGTTGCACACTCATGTTTCTTACCACTTTCACATCTTTCTATATTTTTGTATAACAGTTTTTCTCCTATAATAGCCCTTGTCCTGAAACTTGTACAGCAAGGGGAACTAACAGTAATTCTGGAACACTGTGCATGTTTATTTATAAAGATATTTTTGTATTTTCATTTTTATAATAACCATTACTAATTCTATGAAATTTGCATGTTGTTGTTTTTTTGTGTTTTTTCTAGATTTGAAGCTGATGTCTTTCAACAATATTTGAAGAGAGAAATATGTAACATAATATATTTCAACTATGATCCCCCATCCCTCTCCCCCAACAAAAAAGTTTAAAGATGGAAAAAAAAGTTTCTTATACTTTCCAAGTTTTCCTTTCATGGAAAGTGAGTAAGTTTTTTTTTCAATGAACTTCATATCCAAATGAGGTAAAGTAGTGCAGGACATATTCCAGAGAAATTTACAGTGTTTTGTCATATAACTTTTAAAGATCAGAAGCACATGTATCATGTCATTAAATAGATAGATAGATAAATCAGTCAATCAACCAAAGGTCAGTTATATCCTCAACATTTATAACTCGTGGTCCCTTCCCTCCTAATCAGTAATTTGCTATGAGATAGTATCAGAGTTTCCTACATTCCATTTTGGGTCAGGTTGTTTTGAATGCACAATGTTAAGTGTGTTTGCCTTGGCTGTTTTTGTGCACCTATAATATTGCATATCATCCTTGAAAGCAGCAATGAAACCTGAGCTAACAGTTCACAGATATCATATACTTGTATTTTGTTAAGGTATTTGTCTTTGGGTATTTAACTTCTGAGCCCTTAACTTGTTAGAATAATGATAATAAGAGACTAAAATCAAAATATTTTTCCTGTATGAAATGACTATTGTGTCTGGTCTGCAATGAGATGGTAAGCCATATTGGGAAGGGCATTGTGGTATTAGGAGAGTTTGAAGGATTTGCGAAGGTATATCTAGATTTATGGGGCTGTATACGTAAAAACTGTCCAGAAATTCAGTTTTGGGAAATTTGAGGTTGTTATTTTTTAGACCTTTCATACTTCAGAGCTCTCACATGAGTTGGAAATTCCATCCTTAATATAAGGGGTTATTTGACAAAGATTTATCCCTCTAAGATCACTTTTTTTATGTTACTTTTTAAATGGCTGACAAAGTGTAAAATATGGAGTATACATTTCTTTAATTGATTTCTTTTCCAAGTCAGATTGGACTCCATTTTATGTCAGTGCAAAAATGGAAGTAGAAATCAAGAATTATAAGATCAATTTGTAATGTTTTTTCACAAGAGTGGTTGATATAGAAGATTACAGCATAACTTTGAACTTTCAGATAGCTAAGCTTCCCAGGTTTCTCCTGAAAGTTTTTATTTATATATACAAATATCTTTTAATGAATTTTATGTATGTGTACATACATACATGTGATTTTTTATATATACTATCATACATTGTGTTTGTGTGTGCGTGTGTGCATGTGTGCATGCTTGTGTGTGTGCATATGCTTGATTTGTATATGGATAAGTTACCCAATATTTGTCCAAAATGTGCCATACACCTTGAAATTGAATGTGTGTGATAGAATGAGCTACTTTTATAACCAGTCAGTAGCAAATCATAGTATACTGAACATGTATGTATACTGCAGTGTGTTTGTTAACCAGCGTGGTTTGTTGAAAGATGTTAGGAGAAAGTAAAGGTAGAACATGGGTATTATACCATGAAAAGCATTTTTGTCTACCTTTGTTTATGCAATGGAAATTCTATTACTTGAACAAGCAATCAAGAGTTTCATAGGGAGTTTTTCACACCACATAATTTTTTTTTTTTTTAGTACAGGTATTTGATTTTCAAATATTAAGGCTCCTGATTCCCCTACCTGCATCAAGCATCAAGCCCTTTTTCCAGTTTTGTTTTAGTTTCTTGCTAAGTTCATGTATGTAACCAAAAGAATAAAAAGAGAATGTCACCCATCTCTTTCATAAAGAGAAAAAATATCTAACTAAGGAACTGTGGTTATAAAATTACAATTCCATACCAAACTTTTTTATCTCAGAATAGCAATTTTTTGTTACCTTTCTTTACTGAAGCTCAAAAACTACTGGGCAGATAGAAAAGAGCATTCAGCTCTGAAGTATTTATGAGATAGGAGAGAATGCCGTAAGTTTTGCAGTTCTAGCTCAGAAGGGTTGAAGAATTTGTCTTGGGAATACATTCTACCTTGTTAGTAAGTTAACACTTTACACAAAAGGAGTTCATTGTAAGATATGACAGTTTTAGAATACTCAAGGATATAATTTTCAGGTATAGATGTAACATTAAATTTTTGTTTTGGTGTTTTTTATGTTTTCTGCTCTATCTGTGAATTAGTTGTCCCCTTGCTCACCCAGTCACATATTGCACCAAAAGGTTTGATATGGTATGTATACATTAAGAGATTTCCATTTGAGTGAGTGAGTGAGTGAGTAATATGGTATGTATACATTAAGAGATTTCCATTTTCTGGAAAAGAGGATGGTTTTGATCCCAATCAGTAATTGAGGATATGCTTCCTTTATGGGTAAAAGGCAAACATATTGAAAGCGAAATTGAATGAGATTACAGATGGAATTTTTTATGATATTGGTGGAGCAAAGTTGGTTGAATGCTTTGAATACTTGAAAAGCAGTTGCTTAGATGTATTCGCATATTGCTTTATGTTATCAACAGATGTTTGAAAATTTGACAAGCCTAACAGCAATTGAAAAGAAGTTATTAGAAATGGGAATGAAATTATAGGATGCAAGTAAATCAGAAGTGAGCAGTTGCCAGCCTCGACGCTCAAGTTATGTAAAAGTTCTCAGGAAAAGTTTCTACAAAGAAACGAAATGAATATAAAAAAGTCAGAAGATAGTTGAGATTTTGACTTAACTTGCAGACAGCATGAAATGTATGAAACAGTATGAAATAAGATATATCAAAAAAAAACTTTTCTTTCTTACAGGGAACTGCTGCTCAACAACAACCAACTGCGTGTTCTGCCTTACGAAATAGGCAAACTCTTCAACCTTCAAAATATTGGGTTGAAGGGTAACCCTCTAGCAATGGAGATCCAAGCCGTCTACTCTGAGTCCAATGGAACACTGAAACTCCTCTCATACATGCTAGACAACTTAGCAGGTCAGTAATAAGGGTTTATGGTTTTCTTTTGATTTTTGTATGGAGGCTGTTTTGTGTTTATTCTCTCTTTCCCTATCTCAATTTCTTTATGCTGCTTCGGCTTCTGTCTCTGTGTCAGTCAATCTCTCCTTCTCCTTTTTTCCTCTCCTTTTCTTCTCTCTCGCTCTCTCTCTCTCTCTCTCTCTCTTCTCTCTCTCTCTCTCTCCTCTCTCTCTCTCTCTCGTCTTTCATCTCCTCCTCTCTCTACCTCTCTCTCTCTTCTCTCACTCCTGTAGTTCTCTCTCTCTCCCTGCCGTTTCTCACGCTCGTTCTCTCTCTCACCCTGTCTTTCTCTCTTCTCTCCTCCGATCTCTTCTTCTCCTTTCTCCTGCTTCCTCGTTTCTCTCTCTCTCTCCTCGTTCTCTCGTTTCTCTTCTCCTCTCGCTTCTCTCCTCCTCTCTCTCTCTCTCTCGGAACCTGTCCTCTCTCGCTTCCTCCTGTGTCCTGCCTTTCATCCTGTTCTCTCTCTCCTCCTTCCTGTCGTCTTCTCTCGTTCTCTCTCGTCTCTCCCTGTCGTTCTTCTCGCTTCTCTCTCTCTCCCTGCTTCTCTCGTCTCTCTCTTCCCTGTTCGTTCTCTCTGCTCTCTCCTCTCCTCTCTCGTCGTTCTTCTCTCCCTCTGTCGTTCTCTCGTTCTCTCTCTTCTCCTGTCGTTCTCTCTCTCTCCATCTGTCTCTCCCGCGTTCTCTCTCTCTGCCCTGTCGTTCTCTCTCTTCTTCCTGTCTCTTCTC